ATATTCATTACCATGATCTACCTCCTCAAACACCTTAGTGAAAAAAGTTAGTAAATTCGTAAGACAGGAACGCCCCTTTGTAAAACCGTGTTGAGATTCGTTAATCAATCTGTGCCTATCAAGATGGCTACGAATTGCTTCGGCAATTATTGATTCCATAAATTTTCCCACTATGGAGGTAAGGCTTATTGGTCTATAGTTCGAAGCCGAGGACCTGTCACCTGCCTTATAAATAGGTATTACATTTACCATTTTCCACTTATCAGGCACTATGCCAGTTTGTAGTGATATGTTTAAAAGATTAGCCAAAGGTATGCTAAGTTCCTCTTTACATTCCTTTAACACCCTTGCAAACAGTTCATCAGGACCTGGGGATTTGTTAGGTTTTAGTTTCTCTATTTGTCTGAGGTCCATGTCACTAGTTACCACAATCGTGCATAGTTTATCATCCTGTTCTACATAATCTATTATTTCAGGAATATTGCTAGTATTTTCCTGGGTGAAAACTGAGAGGAAGTAGGTATTGAGAATTTCACACATATCCTTATCAATGTCAGTGATCTGAGCAGAGTTACTCTTAAGTGGGCCAATCGTGTCCCTAATCTTACTTCTGTATACCTGAAAGAACCCTTTTGGGTTAGTCTTTGAATCCCTTGGGACCTTAGCCTCATAATCTCTTTTTGCTTTTCTTATTCCTTTCAATATTTCTCTCTCTAATTGAATATATTGATTTCTTAACTGCCCATCCCCTCTTTTGATACGCCTATATATGCCTCTCTTTTGACCAATGAGATGTTTTAATCTATTGTTCATCCATTTGGGATCATTTTTGTTTGATCTAATTTCCCTACTCGGAACAAAAGTTATCTGGGCAGCTAGAACTATGCTCTGAAAAACATCATATTAGCAACCAAGCTCACCTACCTGACCCATAGTCAGGACATCCCAATTTAGCCCACCCAGGTAATTTTTCAGTCCCATGAAGTCGGCCAAGCGAAAATCTGGGGCAGAGATTTGATTGCAGCTATCTGGGTAATTCCATGATATATTGAAATTAAGTGATTTGTGGTCACTTTCCCCAAGCTCATCATTAACCTCAAGATTATTAATTAGTGAATCTTTGTTGGTAAGAACCAAGTCAAGCAGATTGTTTCCTCTAGTTGGTTCTGTCACAACCTGTTCTAAAAAGCAATCCTGAACCATATTAAGAAAGTCACTAAACTCAAGATTTCCTGTCATATTATTCCAATCAATTTGTCTAAAGTTAAAAATCACCCATTATCATAACATTTTCATATCTAGATACCTTATGAATTTCGTCCCAGAACAGCTTACTGCACTCCCTATCAAGGTTTGGGGGCCTATAAATCACACCCAAAATTAATTTGTCTCGTCCCTCGAGAAACTGTAGCCAAACGGATTCTGCGTTCGATGTTTCTAATCTTATATCATGTCTAAGACATAGGGGAAAGGGGTACGGCATGTGTGGTTTGTTTGTTAGACTGTTTGCTTGCATTGGGGTTGCTGGGGTTGAGGGCCTTCTGTAGGTGGTTGTGAGGGAGGTTGTATTTGTCTGTCTACTTGACTGTCTGCCTATCTGCCTGTTTGCCTACCTGCCTGACTGCCTGTCTGCCTACCTACCTGACTGCCTATTTGCTTGACTTCCTACCTGCCTGCCTCTCTGCCTGCCTGCCTGCATGGCAGGCAGGCAGAAAGGCAGTCTGCATTCCTTGACTTTATCCTGTCTGTCTGCCTTGACTGTATTGTGCCTGCCTGGACTGTATCCCACATGCCTGGACTATATCCTGCCTGTCCAGATTGTATTCTGCCTGGACTATATCCATCCTGGACTGCATCCTGCCTGGAGTGTATCCTGCCTGCGTTACTTTGTTTCATGTTGATATGTTGCTTGAGTCAGTGTGATCAGTTGTGTTGTTCCCTGCATGCTGCCTGCACCAACAACCGCAGGAGTCCTGGTCCAGAATGAGGTCCCTAAGTGCTGCCTGCACCAGCAACTGCAGGAGTCTTGGTCAAGTGCCAGGTCCTTGTGTGCTGCCTACACCAACAACTGCAGGAGTCCTGGTAGAGATCCAAGTCCCTGTGTGCTGCCTATGCTAAGAACTGCAGGAGTCCTGGTCCAACACCAGGTTCCTGTGTGCTGCCTGCACCAACAACTGCAAGAGTCTTGGTCTAGCACCAGGTCTCTGCATGTTGCCTGCACTGACAACTACAGGAGTCCTGGCCCAGCACCAGGTCCCTGTGTGCTGCCTGCACCAACAACTCCAGGAGTTCTGGTCCAGCACCAGGTCCCTGTGTGTTGCCTGCACCAACAACTGCAGGAGTCCTGGTCCAGCACCATCTCCCCATGTGCTGCCTGCACCAACTGCAGGAGTCCTGGTCCAGCACCAGGTCCCTGTGTGCTGCCTGCACCAACTGCAGGAGTCCTGGTCCAGCACCAGGTTCCTGTGTGCTACCTGCACCAACAACTGCAGGAGTCCTAGTCCAGCACCAGGTTCCTGTGTGCTGCCTGCACCAGGTTCCTGTGTGCTGCCTGCACCAACAACTGCAGGAGTCCTGGTCCAGCACCAGGTTTCCTGTGTGCTGCCTGCACCAGGTTCCTGTGTGCTGCCTGCACCAGGTTCCTGTGCGCTGCCTGCACCAGGTTCCTGTGTGCTGCCTGCACCAGGTTCCTGTGTGCTGCCTGCACCAACAACTGCAGGAGTCCTGGTCCAGCACCAGGTTCCTGTGTGCTGCCTGCACCAGGTTCCTGTGTGCTGCCTGCACCAGGTTCCTGTGTGCTGCCTGCACCAGGTTCCTGTGTGCTGCCTGCACCAGGTTCCTGTGTGCTGCCTGCACCAGGTTCCTGTGTGCTGCCTGCACCAGGTTCCTGTGTGCTGCCTGCACCAGGTTCCTGTGTGTTGCCTGCACCAGGTTCCTGTGTGCTGCCTGCACCAGGTTCCTGTGTGCTGCCTGCACCAACAACTGCAGGAGTCCTGGTCCAGCACCAGGTTCCTGTGTGCTGCCTGCACCAGGTTCCTGTGTGCTGCCTGCACCAGGTTCCTGTGTGCTGCCTGCACCAGGTTCCTGTGTGCTGCCTGCACCAGGTTCCTGTGTGCTGCCTGCACCAGGTTCCTGTGTGCTGCCTGCACCAGGTTCCTGTGTGCTGCCTGCACCAACAACTGCAGGAGTCCTGGTCCAGCACCAGGTTCCTGTGTGCTGCCTGCACCAACAACTGCAGGAGTCCTGGTCCAGCACCAGGTTTCCTGTGTGCTGCCTGCACCAACAACTGCAGGAGTCCTGGTCCAGCACCAGGTTCCTGTGTGCTGCCTGCACCAACAACTGCAGGAGTCCTGGTCCAGCACCAGGTTCCTGTGTGCTTGCCTGCACCAGGTTCCTGTGTGCTGCCTGCACCAACAACTGCAGGAGTCCTGGTCCAGCACCAGGTTCCTGTGTGCTGCTGCACCAACAACTGCAGGAGTCCTGGTCCTGCACCAGGTTCCTGTGTGCTGCCTGCACCAACAACTGCAGGAGTCCTGGTCCAGCACCAGGTTCCTGTGTGCTGCCTGCACCAACAACTGCAGGAGTCCTGGTCCAGCACCAGGTTCCTGTGTGCTGCCTGCACCAACAACTGCAGGAGTCCTGGTCCAGCACCAGGTTCCTGTGTGCTGCCTGCACCAACAACTGCAGGAGTCCTGGTCCAGCACCAGGTTCCTGTGTGCTGCCTGCACCAGGTTCCTGTGTGCTGCCTGCACCAACAACTGCAGGAGTCCTGGTCCAGCACCAGGTTCCTGTGTGCTGCCTGCACCAACAACTGCAGGAGTCCTGGTCCAGCACCAGGTTCCTGTGTGCTGCCTGCACCAACAACTGCAGGAGTCCTGGTCCAGCACCAGGTTCCTGTGTGCTGCCTGCACCAACAACTGCAGGAGTCCTGGTCCAGCACCAGGTTCCTGTGTGCTGCCTGCACCAACAACTGCAGGAGTCCTGGTCCAGCACCAGGTTCCTGTGTGCTGCCTGCACCAGGTTCCTGTGTGCTGCCTGCACCAACAACTGCAGGAGTCCTGGTCCAGCACCAGGTTCCTGTGTGCTGCCTGCACCAACAACTGCAGGAGTCCTGGTCCAGCACCAGGTTCCTGTGTGCTGCCTGCACCAACAACTGCAGGAGTCCTGGTCCAGCACCAGGTTCCTGTGTGCTGCCTGCACCAACAACTGCAGGAGTCCTGGTCCAGCACCAGGTTCCTGTGTGCTGCCTGCACCAACAACTGCAGGAGTCCTGGTCCAGCACCGGGTCACTGCCATCATAATCCCTCACTGTTATAACAGTTTTAATAGCAAATGTTCAACTTAGAGATATAGCAAGTGTTCAACATGCAGTTATGACAAGTGTTCAACATACAGTTATGACAAGTGTTCAACATACAGTTATGACAAGTGTTCAACATACAGTTATGACAAGTGTTCAACATACAGTTATGACAAGTGTTCAACATACAGTTATGACAAGTGTTCAACATACAGTTATGACAAGTGTTCAACATACAGTTATGACAAGTGTTCAACATACAGTTATGACAAGTGTTCAACATACAGTTATGACAAGTGTTCAACATACAGTTATGACAAGTGTTCAACATACAGTTTATGACAAGTGTTCAACATACAGTTATGACAAGTGTTCAACATACAGTTATGACAAGTGTTCAACATACAGTTATGACAAGTGTTCAACATACAGTTATGACAAGTGTTCAACATACAGTTATGACAAGTGTTCAACATACAGTTATGACAAGTGTTCAACATACAGTTATGACAAGTGTTCAACATACAGTTATGACAAGTGTTCAACATACAGTTATGACAAGTGTTCAACATACAGTTATGACAAGTGTTCAACATACAGTTATGACAAGTGTTCAACATACAGTTATGACAAGTGTTCAACATACAGTTATGACAAGTGTTCAGCCTAACAGATAAAACAACAAGCATTCAACTTACAGGTGGTGTTCCGCTCTGTGTCATCCCAGTTGATGAGATTCTTGCTGTGGAGAGAGTTGAGGAATCTTCGTTCAAAATAAAAAATATGTTCCAGCTTGTTCAACCAAGTAGAACACTTTACATCCAGGTAAGAAAGTTGTGTCAAGTGTTGCAACAAGTTCACAGAGTTGCAGCAATCTCAACAAAGTTGCTGCAGAATTGTCTTATGTTTATGTTGAATACTTCATATTGAAAAAAACAAACATGTGACTTATGCAGCACTGTACTGAACCAATAATGTTTTGAACCAGAGTACGGGTGGGGCTCAAACTTACGGCAAGTGAGTGGTAAAACTCCAGGCCAGTGCGTAAGTCACTGGGCCAGCTGGCTACAATAAGTCATTCAACTAGGTATATTTATACATCATAGGGAAGTTAGCATAGGTCCCACTGTGACCATAAATGCAAGTTTTAATAGGTGAATCTCCCGCCAATGTGGCTATGACAAATTCTAGCTCAAGTCCCCTCAAGCTGTCATCATGACTCACAAAATCATAAGAACGTGTGTGTACCCACTTTGAAATTTGTTCATAATTGTAACCATGTATAGATGTGTAGATGATTCATTACCTTTGTAACTTGTTCAGCTAGCAGAACTTTGCTGCCCAGTCTCTGGATACCAGGTTACGGGCGGGGATTGAACTCGCGGCAACTGAGTGGTAAAACTCCAGATTCACTTACTGCGAGTTCAGTCCCCACCCGTACCCTGTTTGTTTTCAGTAGTGTCATTATGATTTCGTGAGTCAGTAATGTTTTGTTCATAGTGTTCATATCTTTAAAGTCAGTATTAATAATTTTTTTTTTTTTCACAAGTCGGTCGTCTCCCACCGAGGCAGGGTGACCCAGAAAAGAAAGAAAATCCCCAAAAAGAAAATACTTTCATCATCATTCAACACTTTCACCACACTCACACATTATCACTGTTTTTGCAGAGGTGCTCAGAATACAACAGTTTAGAAGCATATACGTATAAAGATACACAACATATCCCTCCAAACTGCCAATATCCCAAACCCCTCCTTTAAAGTGCAGGCATTGTACTTCCCATTTCCAGGACTCAAGTCCGACTATATGAAAATAACCGGTTTCCCCTGAATCTCTTCACTAAATATTACCCTGCTCACACTCCAACAGATTGTCAGGTCCCAAGTATCATTCGTCTCCATTCACTCCTATCTAACACGCTCATGCACGCTTGCTGGAAGTCCAAGCCCCTCGCCCACAAAACCTCCTTTGCCCCTCTTTCCAACCCTTTCGAGGACGACCCCTACCCCTCTTTCCTTCCCTATAGATTTATATGCTTTCTATGTCATTCTACTTTGATCCATTCTCTCTAAATGACCAAACCACCTCAACAACCCCTCTTCTGCCCTCTGACTAATGCTTTTATTAACTCCACACCTTCTCCTAATTTCCACACTCCGAATTTTCTGCATAATATTTACACCACACATTGCCCTTAGACAGGACATCTCCACTGCCTCCAACCGTCTCCTCGCTGCTGCATTTACCACCCAAGCTTCACATCCATATAAGAGTGTTGGTACTACTATACTTTCATACATTCCCTTCTTTGCCTCCATAGATAACGTTTTTTGACTCCACATATACCTCAACGCACCACTCACCTTTTTTTTCCCTCATCAATTCTATGATTAACCTCATCCTTCATAAATCCATCCGCCGACACGTCAACTCCCAAGTATCTGAAAACATTCACTTCTTCCATACTCCTCCTCCCCAATTTGATATCCAATTTTTTTTTATCTAAATCATTTGATACCCTCATCACCTTACTCTTTCTATGTTCACTTTCAACTTTCTACCTTTAACACATTCTCAAAAACTC